GTGTTTTTAATACCGCCTAATGCAGTAGTATTTCTCATTTCATTATCATAATCATATCAAACTTTTTTCAATAATTATTATAATGATTCAGATCTCCATTTGCCACCAATTGTAGTGAAACTGAAGATCAACATATTTGTTTCACTGTATCCAGTAAGTCAAATTAAAATAGATAATAGATTTTGTTATATCAGAAGTTCACTAAAATATTCAAACCCTGCAAATTTGAAATTACTATATCTTCTTTCTGCCTAAAATTATTTTTTATTAGTTTGCACACAGTTTTTTGTTAATAACTTGTGCGGATTCTTCTGTAGAGTGCACGCTTTCTTCAAGTTGATTCTACATTGTACATACTCTCAAAAACATCTTTGTATAGTCATTATATCTTTCACTGGTTCTTTCACTGTTAGAACACTTTTCTTTATTTCTGTATCCTCATTTTCTTCTGGTCTTTCTTCTGATGAACCTTTCACAACATTTATGACGTCCTAGGCAGATGGTATTTCAGTTCTTCATTTCTTACAGCCTGCATCAGTGAATACTTAATAGAACTGCCTTAGATGAGCTGAATTTCCATAGTCCCCCCCCAATCACTTTCATTTTTTGTGAATGCAATAAAAGTAACAAACAAGATAATTTCCCTGAAAAGGATTTATGTTATTGGAATTTGCTGTGTGATGGGAAGTATTTTTTCATGGACATGATATCTAGTGTTCTTTAAATCCAGTGTACAGTTCACTATAATCGGTATATGTGATTATCTAGTGTTCAGTTGTAATGTATGTGGTTTGGTGTTGTAGGTTCACTGTATCTGAAAGTACTGTATTTCCAGTGTCAACTGCATTTTGTATGTAGATCATTTAAGGCATAGTATTTATTTATTTATTTATTTATTGTCCAAAAATTGAAGGTGATGTTTTGGGAAGTAGTATAATCTGTGTACATGATCTTGAGATCCAGAATCCAGACCATTAAACTTTTACTATACATTATTGAATTACGAATCAATATTTCTATTGTCACAAACAAACTATGGACTTTGTTTTCTAGTATTGTTGATGAAATAATTACTCTCTCTAAAATTTGATTTCTGTACTATTATGTTTATATATTATGAAATATATCTGATGCAGGAATGTATGCATATTTCTTTTTGTAAATTCAATATCTTAGGCTTCTCTCTGTCAGGTTACTGAGACATATGTATCCATGTGTAACGAATATTAAGGAATCTTTGCAGTTACCAGAACTGAATGTATTGTATTAGAAAATATTATGTGATTTTATTTGCAGAGATACCTGATCTCATGAATATGCAACAGTTGGCATATTTGAGAAGCTGGAATGGTGAGCTTCGCTTTCTGCAAAATTTCCATTTGACAAGATATACTCGCAAACAATTGGAAGAAAAGAATGATACTCTTCTCCCCGAAGATTATTTACCTCAAGATGACAAAGAGGAGGAAGATGTTGCAATGGAGGAGGATGAATCCCATGAGCATGAATCCCATGGGAATGACTCCCGTGAGGATGAACAAAATGAGGATTCAGAATGGAGTGATGTACCTGATGAAAGCGATGAGGATAAAGATCCCTCAAAACCTAATACCACTAAGAGAAATAAAATGGCACATGCATTCAAAAAACATAAGAGATGTAAAGGGAAAATGATGGTTGAATAAAGGATTGTTGACATTTTGTGGTGTATTATTTCCTGTGCTTTTTTCTTCTACTATAAATTCAAAGTACCCAGCCCATGGAGTATTGGTCAGAATGATTACCTTCCATTGCTGGTGCCTGCGTTCAATCCCATGGGTTCAAAGTGAAATTTGTTGCGGAGAAAGCGGATTCGCAGCAGGTTTTCATGGGGTACTTCTCTTTTCCTCGCCAATATGCATTCCACCGGATTGCTCCATCAATTATTCCCTACCCTATCCTGTAATTAACCACCATTCCGCTAAAGATCTACAGATCATAGCTGCACCTGGAGTTAAACAAGAACAAGATGGAAAGAGCTGCAGCTACCTCAGCGGGTTATGCACAGGAAGGCTCCCAGCCTGGAGAACTACAGAGGGGAAAAGGTGAGGTAGTGGGGGACTGCCCCCTCCCAATGCGGATATCCAAGGGTGGATTCAAAGTACTTCAAAATTCCATACATGATATACTCACTTGTGGTTAACAAAGTGACAAACTTTGTCATGGACCCACCATGAAAGAATCTCACAAATTTGGTGAAGGGTACATAAAGCACAGAGAAAAATTGTAATATAATAAAATGCACTTTAAATTTTGGTTCCTGAAAAAAAGAGTGCCATAATGGGAATAATATTATTTCTTGCATATTGTTATATCTATCGAACTGTAAACAAAATGCTTTTCTGAATTGACATTTTTAAAGAGCAAATGCAGAGTGAAAAGTATATAATGGAATGTCTATGCTAGTTTTAATAAATGAAATTCCTTACAGAAAGAGATTAATAGGGCATGTGATTTTCTCATAGATAGTAGGAAGAAAATATTGTAAAAGTTTAGAAAGCTTTTTCTTGCAATATTGGAAGAAATCCTTTAGGTATCACTAATATCCAAAAACTGATTATTAGAAAAACTGCTTGTAAGCAAAATTATATAGTGTAAATAATGCTGATGTAAGCTACTTAATTTCAGAACATGTTACAAAGAGCCTTACACCTTCATGTCGTTGTCCTGGACTGCTAACGATGTAAAAATTACACTTACGTTGAGTAATTAGAATGGAATGATAGAGACTAGCTGTAAGGACCCTGTTATAATGAGACTTCATAAATGTGAAAAAAGATAGTGGAGAACACGTTGGACACTCATTTTTAGAAAGTTAAAAGCCTCTTTTTATCTCCATGCCCTTCTTTCCCTTTTTATCATCCAACTCCTTTTCCCAACTGTTATCTTCTTTCTGGCCCTTCTTTCCCTTTTTATCATCCAACTCCTTTTCCCTGCATGCGATACTCATTTCTTGTCAATGCAAATTTGTTTCTCTTGCTCCAATTTTTTATTTTATATTTTCAAAAGTGGAAGACATTCTAAACAAAACACGAAATCAAGTTTTGAAATTTCTGAATGCTTGATGTTGACGTAGACAAGATATCTTAAGCATTGTATGCTCCTTGTCAGAGTATATTCACAATTTGAATTTTCTTGTGAAAAAATGTTGTGGCATTAACATCGCAGGAGTTGAAGCAACATTATTGTGTTGAATACGTGAATATCATGTGGGGTGTTAATAAAACAATTGACATATGACACTGATTTCCTGTGCTGACCTCAATTTATTATATTTCCTAGTTGAATGTGATGTCGACCACAGTGAATAAACCCATGCCTCACACAGTTTTCAAACTTTCTCTCTTAAGCTCTGAATATTTGGCTGATGCTCCAAATTAAAGTAAACTACAATACTACTCCTGTGCTGTTGGGATTTTTTTCAAAAGTTGTTATTCTACAACTATTAGATTTATATGAACACGTGGTAAATTTGATTACAGTATTTTGCTTTGTATGGTTTTTAATACCAAACCCCTGCTCCACTAAAAAATATTTTAAAAAATTGATGATTTCTTTTCAAATTTTTTGTAGAAACAGTATAAATTGTTTTTGGAATATATTTTTTTTAAATATGTGTAGTTATTAAGTAGCTCATGAAACAATTAATTCCTTAATTTAACTTATATTTGAACATCTTACACTGAGATGTTAATTATATCTTCCTGAGCCAAGAGCTTCAGTTGATTTTAATTTTAAGAAATAACCGTATACCTCTTCTTCCCAAACACATACAAAGTTCCATCTCTCTCTTTTTTCCCCTGTATGTAATATCTTAAAAGGTTTGTAAATTAATGTATACTTATTGTGTTAGAAATGCATATTTATGGGTGTCTAGCACCAAGAAAAAAAGGGAAATGAAAATGAATGTCTTTCCATCTGTAAACGACTGACATATGACTCATATGTAAGATTGTTTTCAAAAATGAATATTTTCTTTAAAGTTGTCTAGTGGCCATGTTTATTTAAAAAAATATTAAAATCTTTAAAATAGGTAATTTCTTTAACCACTTTTAAATTCGAGATATTCTTCTTTATGCAATTAAATTCTTCTATTTTAGTATTTTTTTCATTTAATAAATTAAATCCTTTGATTAATTCCAACGAGAGTTGTTGATTATTACTATTGCACATGTGCAATTACTATAACCACAAAAAATGATCAGAATTCAGGGAAAGGGTAAAAATGTTGTAACTATGTCTCTGTGGATACAAATACAAAAATAAGCATCACATGACTTACATCTGCAACATAAAGATAGATAATAGATAAATACTATAAGTACTTAGAGATATTGAAATTAATATCCTTACATTAGAATATGTTACCCGACCTATACTTGGCTGTTGTAATGTGAAATGTCGGTATTGTCTTTTACTTGAAATGTCGTCTTCAGCATGGAAAAGTATGGCAACAAGCTCGTTGGTGCAACATTTACTAACTAAAAGAACAACATAAAATATTTAACATGAATAAATTTAAATTTTCCATTTTTCAAGATTTATAAATATTATATTCTCACTCAAAAGTGTCTTCACTTCCACTGAGAAATAATGTTGATATTGTTTTCTCAGCTTTGTCTAATTTGTCAATTGGCAAAGTGATCAATATCTTCAATTTTAATACCACTTTGTCAAGTCATTGTAATCATAACTATATAGTGCTAGGCGCTAAAATGGGACTTATTCAGAACATTGCCCACAAACAGAATAAATGCATTGTCATTGAATATTTGCCTTGGATGATAAAGAAATGCTTGTGTTTCACAAAATTAAAATTATTCTTAAATGGAAACAAAAAATAGTGTAAATAACAGTGAATAAATGGGTACAAGTGCATATGTGGTAAATAAGAAAACTTGCGCCAATTATTACTCATTTTCTTGAATACCATTAGTGCAATTATACCCTTTTTTATTAACTAGTTTTGTTAATTTCTGTGAACAATGTCACATGCAGGGTGATTTTTTCTTCAAAATATTAGCAGTTTTTGCATAATTTTTTATCAAACTGTGTCATTAACTTTGTTCCAAAAATACTGAAACAAGATTTTCTCTAAAAACTCTCCCAATTTAATCTTGTAGAGATAAAGTGCAAAACGTAAGAGCCATTTTCATTAAAACTTTTAAACATTAGTAAATTAATTTCCTTAATTTATTCAGACACCTTGCTTTTAATCTATCTTTGTAGGTTTAATTACAATTGTATTTATTCAATTAATAATATACTTGCAAACACTAGAACTTTAAACTATTGCTTGTAAAGTTTTTGTTGATCTCATTTGTTTTTGTGTTAATCAAATACAGTCCATTTCCAAATGGTCCAATTTTTTTCTGGAAAATAATTGAATGAAACATTTATGCTGTTCTACAATGCTCTAATAGACTCTTTTTAACAAAATAATTAGTGATCAAAGGAAAAAGTAAAAAATGTTGTTTTAATAAAATACAGTAATTTTATAAACATCATAATTGCTGAAATAGAAAAAAAACAACATTGTATTGATTGAAATGTTATGTATTGAGACCTAAATTTTTTGTAAAGTTTATGAATTTCAAATATACCTGATAAAATCTAAAGATTAACTGATGTAAATGATTCTTTAAAAATTATAGGTATATAAAAATTTTTAAAATTGGAGGAGTTGATAATGTATCTCTTACCATAAAAAGTATTGCAAAAAATAGCTAAATCCTTATCATACCAATTTAATAAAGTTGCGCAAAAAGGTATATTTCCTCAACACCTTAAACGGGCCAATATTGTCCCTATTTTTAAAGGTGAAAATGAAAATAAAGCGGCCAAATATAGACTTAAGTCTTTAATCTCAAATTTTGCAAAAGTATTAGAAAAAATTCAAAAATTCCAAATTCCAAAATTCATTAGCTTCATTAACTTGCAAAAGATCGTACAATGCAAACAATTTGGATTCCAAAGAAGTAAAAACACAGACAATGCTGTAATCAGAATTACTGACAAAATCAGTAGTTATATTGACAATAATAAATCCTGTATTTCAATATTTTTAGATCTTGCCAAAGCATTAGATTTAATGAACCACAATATTTTGCTTAATAAACTACATCAGTATTGTTCTCATCATACAGGTCTCATCATAAAATGTGGAGTACCTCAAGGAACTACTTAGGTCTACTCCTATTTATTATATATGTTAATGACGTACTTGAAGTTCCAAGAAAGGGTGGTCTTATATCTTTCGCTGATGATACAAGTAGTACGACGGGATTCTTTGGAGGAAGTGAGATTTAGGTCTGAATACAATTTGCACCAGATAGTAATGTGATTAAATAAAAAGGCGCCGAGTTTGAATGTAAAAAAAACACTTTTGACAGCTATATTGATAGTGTACCTAAATCGATCACCTTGAAATTACATGAAGTATACTGTTATATTCAAAATTATAACTGTGATGAAATACTTACAGTTAAAAAACAAAATATTTTGGTTTATATATCAGTCAAAATTTGAAATGGAAATATGATCTCTTCCAACTGGCCAAGAAAACTACATTTTTTATTTTTAACAAAATGTTTGAATTCTTGAAAAGTAAATAATTATTAATGCTTTACTTTGCTCTTTCTGGTCAGTGGCTACATATGGTATCAGCA